CATTTAAAAGTTATAGTTTCTTTACAAGTCTATATCTGTACAAAATACTTGAATTGGAGCTTATAAATTTTACAGCATCAATGTGTCTAAGGTTTTGAAAGATTTATTAAGGAGACACAAAATATCAACTCAAAAGAGTCAATTCTGCATCTTTAATCAATCCATACTTTGTTGCTATTGATACGGAAGAAGATATTCTTTTAAGAGCACTCGAAGATCTAGCTTTTATATCGGAATCGTAAGACTATTGTATCGGAATCGATAAACTAAATTTATACATTTTCTTTAGAAATGTATGCATTCCTGGTAGTAAGCCTTTGGCTCTTTGTTGAGCAAAAGTTACCAATTCAGAGTTATGAAATTTTTCGGACTTTTTCAGTACTATAAAGAGCAACTTTTCCGTTTTGCTCCTAAAATATTTAAGACACTTTAATTTTTTAATCCACTCAGAAGATATCCTTATTTTATTTTATAACCGTCGTTGAACAGCCGACCCAATTTCATGGGTTTACGACTATAGTTCGTTCACCAGGAGTTGAGACTTGGCTCCACCTCCTCGGACGCAGAGTTTATTTCAGCGCGGGGAGTAAGAGGAAAAACATCTCCGTTGTTGAAATTGAGACAACCCTTAATTTGCGCCAAATAGTGTGAATTCTTTTTCACTTACTTTGCTTTATCATCTGCTAATATACCTTTTGTTACACTAGCTAATTAAATATAGTTTAAATTTAAAAACTGTTGTTCTCCCAGCGAAATGTCTCATAAAGGACAAACTATTCACTCAAAAGAAAGAAATATCATAAAAAATAGTGTAAAATATCATCAAATTTATGAAATATTCATTGTTAAAAAAATGCACATAAAGTTTGCGAAATAAATATTTTTGCCAAACGATCGCCAAATAGCAACATTATTCAGGATTGCTCACAACCTTCTCCCAAAAATAGCGAAATAGTATCGTCGCATACCACGTGATGAAGGCGGAGCCAAGTGCCAACTCCTGGTGAACGAGCTATACTAACGTTCAACTCCGTAGCCTTGTAATTTTGAACCAATCCAGAAGACAAGGAAACTCCTGGATCAGTACCCCCAGAGGTATTGATTTGTTGTGGGAACATGGAGGACTTTGAGACTCGACAGATTTAACGTGCATCAGTCACCATTTACTACATGGGGAGTCTTCGGCCGGCGAGGATCGAACCCACGACCTCTTGGATATGGGCCCAGCGCCCTACCGACCAGGCTATCCCGGCTTTGTACCAACATAATCTTAAGCACCAACATTATCATTCAGGTCATTGATGCAAGAATAAAAACTAAATGAATTCTGCAAGAACGTTTCACTCTTTTCAGATTTAAAAAGCTTCACGTTTATTTCAAAATGCTTATATTTAAATTTCATTTTTAGATTAAATAACCTTCACGTAATAAAAAAAATACATTGACATTTTAATAAATGTAACTAGGAATATGTGAATAAAATATTGAAATACAGCTTGTCAAAAGAGATATTTTTTACAAAAATAATAAAATAAAGCTTTTATGACAGCGAAAATTAAAGAGAGAGCAGAAGTTCAAATTCTAGTAAACGTATGAATATGAAATACAGCTTAAGGTATGAATATTGATTTTTTTCACATTTTCATAGCTTTGATTATGTTTAACACTTTCCCGCGATTTTCAGAGAAGAAAAAAATATCAGAAGCTTTTTTTATTAAGAAAAAGTGTACAATACTTTACTTTTTTCCCCTTGAATTTGTCTAAGATTTTCTTACATGCAAAAACTTTTAATTTCATATTGATATGAGTTATATTAAATTTAATTGTTTAAAAATAATTTTAAATGCTAAGATAAATAATTAAAACTTTTTTCAAAAGAAATTAAAATAAAACAAATTTTATTTTTTTAAAAAAAATATATAGATTTATATTATATAATAAATATGGATATCTTAGTTTTCACTGAATCTCTTCATCAATATGTCATTTCGAATCGTAAATTTTGAACTAAAAACTATTTAAACCAGAGAGAAATGTATTAACTTAGCGAAGATAGTGAAAAAAAAGTCTGGAATTAATAAAAAAAATTAATTTTATTTAGAAGATAAGTGATGTTTTTCTTTAAAAAAATGTGAGAAGTATTAAATAAGTAAAAGTGAAATTCATTTAAATTCAAGAACAACAAACTCATGTTTTAAAAGCTTCCATAAAAATAATCTCATATCTAAATCATTATTATCATCATATAGAGTAAAACTAAATGTACAGAAATGCTGAAACAGTCATTCCAAGTAACTTTCAATCTATACTGCTTATGTATTCAGGCTACAATTTGTTTATTATGTTAATCAATATTTACCTGGTTTGCATGACAAAAAGCTATCACCTGATGATAACTATATCTTATGTGTGGCGACTCAATTACTTTGCTGCAAACATTTCCGTACTTTGCATAATAAATGAAAATGTGGCACCTTGACTACATGTGTTTGAAAAAAGTATAAATCACGTTAACATTCTTTAATATAACTATTTTGTCTTCCATTTTAAGGAAAATTAAAATTCTTCTGATCTTATTGAAGCATTATCATGGTTGAATGTTTAACGTTTCAGATAGTTATTACTTAAGTACAAAATTTATTACCATTAAATATGACTTCAATGGTAATAACTTTTATTAACATTTATAATAGTTATTTTTTCTGCATTTATCGAACTTAATTACACTAACATTTATAGAAGTTATTTTTTTTCTACATTTATCGAATTTATTTTTACTAACATTTACAAACTTTTTTACTTTTATGTTTTTTTTATTAACATTATTGAAATATTTTATAAAATTCATAAAATGTCTGTTTGATGTTTAACATTTATGATCATTCATTCATATGTTATGCTTAGAATTATTAGAATTTTGGAAATTTGAGGAATTTCTAGCTTTATAATAATAATAAAAGAGAAAAAAAACAGAAGCGTAGAAATCTATTAGATATTATTTAGGAACATTTCATTCTTGCTACCATCTGTTATTTTCTCACAAGACTTAGAATTTTGTGTGTGTTCGAAACACACAAAAAAATGACTATGAGTTGCAGTTTAGGAATTTTCAAACAAATGGAATCCACGTTCAAAATCACATTAAACATCCGTTATTTTCATCCAAAATGTTAAAATCTCATCTTTCAATATTTATCTTTATATCTATATCTCAATAATTCTTAGCTACAAGTCACACTTATATTTATAGTGCAAATTTTGAAAATTCTCTAAAGAAACTACTAGACTACTATTAGAACTTGGATTGTTTTCATCCAAAAAGTTGTGAAATGGTTTAAAGCTTACATCGGGAAGAAAATAAACTGAGATGATTTGCTTATGGCTTGCACACAGAGATACATCTGGAGTTTTAAATGGAAGCTTACTTTAAAACAAAAATAAAAGTGCTATAAAGAGTCATAGATAAAAAAAAGAGAGGTGGAGAGAGAAAAAGTGTGATGAGCAATATCACACTGTAATTTGAGATTGGTTAGTTATGATTTTTTTAAAAACAGTCACATTAAAAAGACACATTAGACACATAATATGATTTTTTTTTAAATTTTACATTACAAAAACACATAGATGATTAGTTCAATTCAATTCATAGAGCTACACTTATTAAAAATAAAAATGAGACTTTTGAAATTTTTTATTAGGTTCGTTGAAAGTGTTAGAAAAGGAAACTTAGCCTAGTGAATTAAATATCTAATATTTCCAAATAAATTATCATTCAAAAACTACAATATATCTTTATATATCTATATATCTTTGTATCTTTATATATAAAATATATCTTTATTAGACTTACAAATTATTCGAACAAAAATTTATTGATTTACAATTGAAAAATAAAAGCCTGGGAAATAGTGCGGTGTTTTTATCCCTTTGAGGGGAGTTATGTTATAACGGCTATGTCAACCTTCATCTATCAAAAGGTACCTCGTAATAGAATCAAGTTAACATGTCTTATATACTAGTGGATTGGTATTTAATATTTATATTGGTAGGTACGCCACACCTTCATATTTTATTTTACATTTGATTATTTGTAATATTTCTAAATTTTTCATTCCCAAAAAATTCAAATTCAAAAATGATTTTAAAAAAATGTACTTATGTATTTTGTTTAGTATTTTTTAATTGTATGAGCATTATTATTTTCATTAAGCATTTAACGTTAATGAACTCTTTGTTACTAGCTCTGATATTTTTAACGATAAATTTTTATTAAAATGCATGGGTTACTTCTAAATGATATTTCTTTTTGCATCAAAAGTTATATTTTGAAATTCACTCATATTAATAAGATATTCTCTTAATGTTATTAAAAATATTTTTTACATTGTTTTGTGTCCATTTATTTTCAATGACTTTAATAATTGAAACTAATAAAATTGAACTAATAAAAACTACATAGATTTTCCATCCGCTTAAAATTCTAAGATAAATTACATTAAAACATTTAATTATACTATAAATTAATTTTTTGCTCATTAAAATAAGCAATATTTTAATCATGCTTTAAAAAATACTGGTATAAAATTTATCTGAAGTGTTTTTTTCTTTAAATAGAATGGAAATAACCCTATTTTATCATTCTTCTTTTTACATCCTGTCTAAATGCAAAATGTATTTTTATTAATTTTTATACATAGTTATCACACTAGTTAATAATGTCTAATAACAACATTGTTTTAAAAAAGACCTAGTTCTTAACATTTTTTTACTTTTTCAGAAGTTTATTTTAAAAAAAGATAGAACGATAAGAAAATTAAAAAATCTTTTGCAGTTTCAATTAATATTACAAAAATAAAAGTAAATAAAATAATTGAGTATTATTAATTTCAGAATTCTTCCAAAGAAACATTATGGTTATTCATTTATTATTCTGATTTAAATAGTTAAATTTAATTTTTGATTTCTTATGTATGGAATAATTTTTTTTTCTTCATTTGCAGCCCTAAGCAATATACAAGAGTTCGTTGAAACTACTATTGTACTGAAGAAAGATAAGAAAAATGAACTGGGAATTAGCATAGCTGGTGGTAGTGACTCTTATTTAGTAAGTTGCACATTATTAAAAAAATATTTAAGCTTGTTGAATCAAAAAATAGTTTGAATTTGCTGCAGAATTTTAATATGGTGCTAAGGTGAACCATATTGTCGGACTTGTGAAACTTAATTACTTGATACTCTGATACAATTTAAACGAAAAACAGGGTATAAATTATCGCATTAATTAATATTTCAGCAATTTTAAACCATCGTAATTTATACCAGCAATTTAAAGCAAAAGCAAATTTTAATTTTTTAATTTTTTTTTATTTAAACAAGAAATATACTGAATTTGTTTTTTTTTTAAAAAAAAAAGAAGTATATCCCTTTGCGGCAAAATTTTTATTACGCATATTTTCCATACTTTTCTTTATTTTGAATTAATTAGGGCCAAAATAATTTGAAAAATAATATTTTTAGCACTTTATTAATTTATGGTTATAAAGTACAACATGAAACATTGGTTTCTTTTCTTTTCGGAACAGGTAATTTCTTCTAAACACGGCTCATATGGTGCTAAGGTGAACCATATAGTCGGACTTGTGATGCTTAATTACTTGATACTCTGATACAATTTAAACGAAGAACAGGGTATAAATTAGTACCTTAATTAATGCTTCAGCAATTTTAAACCATCGTAATTTAAACCAAAATCAAATTTTCATTTTTTTATTTATATTTTTTATTTTTTATTTAAACACGAAATATACTGAATTTTTTTTAAAAAAAATTTAAGTACATCCCTTTGAGGCGGAATTTTTATTACACATATTTTCCATACTTTTTTTATTTTGTATTAATTAGGGCCAAAATAATTTTAAAACTATTATTTTTAGCATTTTATTGATTTATGATTATAAAGTACAACATGAAACATCGGTTTCTTTTTTTTTGCGGTACAGGTAAATTCTTCTAAGCACGGCTCATTTCTAAACAATATTATTTTTTTTAAATGCGCAGTTATTTAGATCTAAGTGAAACAGTTACCCATCATAGAATTTTTTTTAATTTTCAAAATCAATTATTGATAAATTTTTGAATGTGAATGAGAAAAAAAAATCAAATGACTTTTACTCTTATTATATTTAAATACTAGATACTCCGATAATCTAAAAGATTTTATTTTAGTAACTATTCGTTGGTTTCTTATGATTAAAAAATACCAAAATGTATTTCTGCTTGTAAATAGAGCTTCAGATAAAAATAAATTTATAAAAGAGATACCAGTGTCCCATCTGCGTTGAAAGGGATAAAAAGTTTCTTATGCTGAAAGAAATATTCATCGATGCATGCACAAAGTTGTTTAGGGAAACTTCAATATAAAAAAGAAGAAATTTTTTTTTATATGCACTGAGAAAGAAATCTAGTTAAAACTCTCAGAATATGGTAAAATTGAACAGCGTCTTTAGCTCTTTGAGAACACCAGATGCCTCAGTAATTTTTACCAAAACTCTTGGTAATGATTTTGATACAATTAAAAATAAAATTACAGTTTTCTAATATGTAGTGTGCTAATTTAATAATGTAGAAATTTTTTCTTGGTACTTTAGAGTATAACGTAAAAACCGTTTATTTGGTTAAGTTTACTTTTCAATTTTATATTATCCCCTATGCGTTTGGTAATAAAATTTTTTATTTTGAGAACCAGAATTTCCGTTAAACCGTTACTATATGAAAGGAATATTTACCAATTTAATGGTGTAAATGCTGCTATATATTTTGATTTATATTACCAGAACTATGGTTTTTACCAGAAATGGCCATACACAAAAATTTCATAATTTTACCAGAATTTTTTTTTCCGTTTGTGGATTGCTCTAGCAAATGTGTGAGATGTAAGCAACACACAATGTATGGGTAAGATTATCAGCAATAATTTTTTTGTGCAAATTCATCTAAAATTTACTAGATGTTCTTTATAAATCAGGAACTTAGTGAGAAAATATTGAAAGAACGTAAATTATCTTTTGCTATAGGGTACACATTTTTTTAATTAAAATTATCGATATGCAAAATTTATTTTTATAAAATTTTTGATTCGTTATTATATTTTTGGTAATGAAAAAAATATATTTATAACAACATCAATCGCTTCTTCGAAATGAAAATGACTTCCACGCGAATTTCTTTTTAGATAAAACAATAGCCCAAATTCCCTCAACGCAAGTAAGTTGAGAGTAATTTCTATCACTTTAATGCGTTTTTGTTCAAGCCTCTGAACTGTTAAGGCTATTTTTCGAGGATTCCGTCCTGAAATGATTATTTTTCGAGAATAACATGATTTTTTTATAACTATTGTGAATTTGCAACTGTTACTTTTAAGATCAAATTTAGCATATCTAAAGCCAGCGCTGTCTACGCTTATTTTGAAAATGGCACAAAACGTCAATATACAGTTTTGTGAAAATGAAAAGCGATTTTGGTCTCATTTTTTAATATTTAAAAACTTACTCCAATGCTGCATTACTTGGGCTCATAATTGGTAAAACCTGAGAATAAGGCAGTGGTTTTGATAACTTTCATCTAGGTGGGAAAATGTCACCAAGTTGGTGATTTTTCCAAAAATTCATAAAATGTCAAAAGTTGGTGCGACAGAGCTTTGAAAAACGGCGTTTATCTAGCTGGATGGGAAGCACCATTGTCATGGTAAAGCATAAATACTCTAACGTTTACTTCCAGTAGAATTCCTGAAAGACATTTAGTGGTGTACCAACCTGCTGTTACCGTCTTCTGTCCTTATTAATGTGTAATTCTTCCTATATAATTTTATGTATGGCCTACGAATCCGATCTCAAGTTCTTTCTGTATCTTTTGGAGGTTGTAATAACTTGCATTCATTAACATTTTAAGTATGGCAGACTCGTTATATGAGATTACTGCTGACAGCAGCCTTCCTGAAAAGGATTGTGGTTTCAGAGAAATTCAGAAAAAACTATCTGAATACAGTAGCACAAAATTTACAAATCATAATTGTAGCCGCTAGAAGCATTCTTTTAGATTTAATCCCACTTAAAATCATAAAGAAAAAAGACATAACACGATAATGTTTTTACGTCAGCTACATATGTTCTTCTGTCTAAAATTTATTCAACGCTACACAATCTGAAATTATCATTAAAAAATTGTCTGCTATGCTATATTCGTTTGTATTTTCAAATTAAATCGCTATTTTTTTTGTTCCACCTCCTCTGCGCGGTTCTCAAAAATATCAGAATGACCCTCACATTACTGAATATTTCCTTTCGTTTTAAAGGAAGGTCACAAAAAAGAAATGATAATTCTCAATTAAACATTAGTTTTTTTGTAAATTGAGAAGTTTCTATTGTTTTCATAAAACGTTTTAAGTAAATCTGCTCAATTATTATGCAAGATTCATTTTAATTTCATTTCATTAGAAGAGGAATATTTAAATGCCTTAAAATTATATTTTATCACATAATAATTTTCCAAATAAAACTGTAGAAATCTCATGCAATATATCATAACATTTCCCTAAAGTGAAATGCTTGTGACATTTTTCTTAAGCTTGTTTGAATAATGAATAATAATATTTTGACATTAACTATTTTAAATATTGACTTTTCTGATCCACGCTTAAAGAAATACATTTTCTCCAATTTATTATTTTCGAAACATTCCTGAAATTAAAAATATTTTTTACGAATAGTATACGTTTTCTAAAAGTGTTTAATTATTCATTTTGACATAATGACCAATTTTAAGATGTAAATAAATAAACGAAACGAAAAAATGCTAATTGCAAAATTAAATAGATATTTAATTATAACTCTTTTAATGCGATAATGAAACTAATAACATTTAAGGTATCCGACTACCTTAAAAAAGAGGATTTTCACAAAAAATCTCTTTTTTATTTTATTGCTTTATAATAATGCCCAATTTTTCTAGTTTTAAAAACTGTTTTGTTTTTGAATGCACGTCAAGCAGAACTTTAGTTATAGCTATTTTAGTAACAGATGACAGCTGTCCAACTTACCGGAAATTACAAAAATGAAGCCGGTAGTAGGTAATAGTTTCGGTTCCATTTCTATTTGTGTGTTTATTTTTCTTAGATATTTAATTTTTAAAAGCTCTTAAACTCACGGCTAATAATCTGAATTATATTTTAATTAGATTTTACGTTTCGTGGTTACTGTTTGTGGGTAACATGAAAAGTTAGCATATTTTCTGATAGTTTGTTTACATTTGAAGCGTACTTTCTATATCTTGATTTTGATTTGTTTTGAAGAAATTTATTGATTTCTTTCAAAAAAATTTGTTATTTATTTTGATGAATTTATTGAAATGGGTAAAGGACGTACTTCTCGATCTAAGAAACGTAAATATTACGGTAATCAACATGCCACCAAAAGCGATGATTTGAGTAAAGTTGATTATACCATTTATTCAAAATTGTGTAAAGCAGATGAATCTATTACTTCAAGCTCTTCAAAATTATCGATTTCTATGGATGTCAATAAAGAACTGATGCCTTTGGATAAAAACAATCTGTGTGGCAATCGAATAATTGATATTGAGATCCTAATGGTGATATTAGCTTCATTATGTTGTCCGGTTTGCTATGATAACAAATTGCATTTAGAAGAAAATTCTAGATTTGAGCTATTATAAATATTATAAAAAATATTTTTTACTTCTAATTATTAATAAAAACTATATTTAGACATATATATTAAAGTGTGAAAATACAGTAAGATGGTTGTTTAATAAAAAATTGTTCCTGTGTTAAATGCTTTATAAGTAGTAGACTTTTGATGTTATTCACTAAATACTTTAAAATATCGCTAAATAATACGTTAAAATATCGCTACGTTAAATAAAACTAAGAAAATGTGTGAAGGAATGTGCCCCCTATAAAATATAATAACTTCCTACTGACAAACATTCATAGTTTTTAGAAAAAATGTAATTATAAACTTTAATTGTGTTTTTCTCAAAATGACAATTTTGCTGTTTTTTGTCTACGGAAAACAAGATAACTCAACTAATTATAATAAATTTGTCTTCAAACTTTCAGAGATTGTTTCTTGTATTGGTGGTTATGTAACAGACCTCCAGAATTCAGATAACTGTATTATTTTTTGTTTTATGAGATATTTTGCAGTAGATAATGTGAAGAAAATGTGAAAAAAAATGGAAAAATATGCTTAACACTCCATAAATTTTTTTAATTTCATGCTATCATTTAAGTTGAGGTTCATAACACTTCAGAGGGTTATACGAAACGGCTCAAAAAGTTTGATAGCTGCATGTACAATAGTTTTTTGTGTAGAGTGTTTTCCGTTAATGAGTTATTTTCATTAAAATTATCTAAAAAATACTCTTTAAACAAAAAATTTCCTGTATATTAAAATTTTCTCTATTAAATATGTTTATTTAAATTAATATACAATATAAATTGCAATAATGTTGTGAAAAATATTTATTTTTCAAAAATTTTGTCCCGAAGGTAGTCGGATACCTTAAATTCAATGAATTATAATGTGACAATATAGAATGCAATTATAATATGACAAATATAAATAGCTTATCTCGAATTAAGGATCAAAATTTTTTTAGAAGAACTTTATATTTAATTTTATAAAATTCAATTAATATTTAATTTAAATTGATATGCAAATTAACGTATTATATTCATGAATATGCTTATCGTTTATATGCTATATATGTAGTAGTATTTTATTTGTCTAAATGATTTTGTATTCTGATATTGCAAATTATTTTAGGAACAAATTTGTGTTTTGGAAGTGCACAAGGATGGTATTGCATACTCAGATGGAAGACTTCGAAAAGGTGATGTTATATTAGCGGTAAGTATAAAAATTATTTTAAATTAAATATAATAAAATAAATGCAATCCAGATATAAAGATTAAAGCTTGACGGTATAGTCAAATAGTTTATCTAAATAAATCAATTTTAGTGAGTTTAAATTAAACTGTTATATATTCTCTTAGAAAAATTGACTCATTATTGAGCCATAATGTCGGTATCTTGTATCGATCAAATTTGCAGCAACCATAATGGGATATAAAATTGTGACTTCAAGCAAATTAGATGAATTAATTGAATGATTAATTGCAGCAACCATAATGGGATATAAAATTGTGACTTCAAACAAATTTGATGAATTAATTGAATAATTAATTGCAGCAACCATAATGAGATAACCAAATTTGCAGCAACCATAATGGGAAATAAAATGGTGACTTCAAGCAAATTAGATGAATTAATTGAATGATTAATTGCAGCAACCATAATGGGATAATCAAATTTGCAGCAACCATAATGGGATATAAAATTGTGACTTCAAGCAATTTAGATGAATTAATTGAATGATCAATTGATGATATCAAGTTTAAAAACTGATGTATTGGAAATTTTAAAAAATTGCTCGATGTTGAGTAATAAAATCAGTACCTAGGATCGCCACATTGCTTCAGCCTTAAAGGGATATTAAATTGAACCATTAAGCGAATTCGGTGAATTAATTGAACTTTAATACCTTGCTATACATTTTAAAAATTAAATTAATAGGAAATTTAAAAAAAAAATTAACCAATTTTGTGCTATAACATCGATATCTCGAAATCGCTCTTATTTGCTATAACTTTAATGGGATACAAAATTGAACCAATCATTGAATTATCTGAATTACTTGAAATTTAATATCGTGTCTTATTACTTTAAAATTAAATGTTTTGGAAATTTGCAAACTGTCTCAATGTTGAGCTAGAATTTCGGTGCCTTTGAACGCAACATCGCTTTAATTTGTTGCAACCTTAATACAATATAAAATTAAACCAATAAGCGAATTACAGGAATTAATAGAACTTTAAAACCTTGTAATCAAGTCTAAAAATTAATTATTTTGGAAACTTAAAAATTGGTTCAGTGTCGAGAATATGATTGGTTCATGAAACATAAGATCACTCTAATTTGATGCGCCTTTATTGGGATATTAAATTGAATCTAGAAATAAATTACATGAATATATGAGCTTAAATGCTGTGTAAAGAAAGTTTAAAAAAATTAACTGTATTGTAAATTTAAAAAAAAGATAGCTTAATAATATCGGCTCTTTGGGACATAATATCGCTTGAATTTGCTGCAACCTTAATGGCATATGGACGCCCGGTGGCTTAGCGGTAGCGCTTCGCACTGTCGTGCCACAGGTGCCTGGTTCAATCCTCGGGCCGGGCAAGGTTGACTCAGCCTTTCATCCCTTCAGTGGGTCGATAAATGAGTACCAAGCATGTTTGGGAACTAAACACTGGGGGTTTGCGTTTGGCTGCCCACCTGACCGGAACATTTGCTCCTGCACCCCAGAGCCCAAAGTCAAGAAAACTGAGTTGGGAACAGTAGGCCTTGGCCCTCTATGAGCTGTCGCCACTGAGTTTAGTTTAATGGTATATAAAATTGGACCTTCGAACGAATCAATTGAGTTTTAATGTCGTGTAAATAGCTTCATTCTGCATGATGATACTACTTAACTTAGTACCTTGTGAAAGTTTATCTGATAAAAATATTTCTAACATTAGATAATTCATTCATTAGAGAAACTCTAAAAGTTTGAATTTTGTCTCAGACACTCTATTTTTATTCATCACTTGTTTAGGTTAACGACATGTCTTTTCGAGAAGCTTCTCTGACTGATGCAGTGAGATGCTTGAAAGAGACACCCTCTCCAATCCGGCTGATTATCCTTAGAGAGAATCCTCAGGCTCTTTTCACCACCAACGAGAGTACGTGTTCGGCATCCAGGCAAGACTTCCTACACTATCTGTCACTATATCCCCATCAACTGCACACTACAATACCTGATCCCTGATTCCTATTCTTGATCAAATTACGAAGAAAACAGATGTATAAAACTTTTATATTTAGCCAGTAGTGGCTAGTATTACCTTATAAGGACGATTTTAGAAACTCATAATCACTGAGGCATTACCTTTTGTTGATATAGATTTGATGTAAATTGTATTAGATATTTCCAATTTTGTTTTACCTGCTTGGTTGAGAGAAATAATCACTTTTTTTTTTCAAGTAGTTACAATCAAGAAGAAAGAGTCTCTATATTTATAAATTTATTTATTTATATGGTCCGAAGAAAACATATTTTAAAACAGTTGTAAAAATTATTTTTTCCAAACTTTTTTATGATTTTAAATTTTAATAGATTTTTGATATTTTGCTTCTCGTCTCAAATTGTTACGTTTTTTTTTATTCAAAATTCATTAAATGATATTTAAGTTAATGAGAATCTTTCAAAATAATTTTTTAGAATATTTTAATTTAATTTTACATCCTTTTTTTTTAATATCAAAAGTATTATTGAAAAAGAGTGACTCGGGAATTAACGGGTTATGACTAAAACTGTAAAAGCAAAAGGAAGTTCTAAACAAAATAACTTATTTACTTTTTAAAAAAAAAATTTCTTAAAAAGCTTTTGTGTTCTTTTTAAAAAAAACGAATGTCTCCCATAATCTTAGTTCATTTGCCCAAATAATAGTCACCTATTTAAATGCATTACTAGCAACATATTCTCATTCTTTCAGGCAATGTGAGTTAATAGAAGATATTTTAAATCTTAAGCCTAACAGTAAACAGTTGACAAAACCAACAGTTTTATAGTCACTTCATGTGATATATGCTTATTTTGTAATAAATATTTCATTCGAAATATTCAAAATATAAAAGAAAAATTAAAATAATATCCATTAAATAACTATAGCTTGAATTCAATGCAATGTTATCTCAGATATAGTTCAAACTTAATAAGTATTGTAAGAACGAAAATAAATCAGGATAACTTAAGCAATAATAAAAAGTAGTAAGTTAAAGAAAATATATTAAAACTCAATCTGCATTTTTAGATCTGTTTTTGAGTAGAGAGAGTTTAGAGTATTTATGAAGAGAGATTGTGAATCATGTGCGAGAAAAAATAAGGTAGAGTTGGGTTGAATTTAGACTTTAAAAAATTACGTATTAAATTACAGTAGAAAGTACTGGTATTCTAAGTGCACTATCGATAAAATAAATTTTTACCTTAAAATTTATTACCATATTTTTTCCCAGTAATATTTATTTAATTACAATAACTCAGTAGTTTTACAGTAAATGTTTATGTAAAAACTATGGTATATTGTATTAAGTAAATTTTTACCGTAATTTGATCCAGAATTTTCTACAGCTCACCCGTTACGGGATGAAAAAATGTGAAGGAATTTAAAGTGTATCGTTTGCCCAAAAGATATTCCTTCTGTTTAATTAATTTTGATTTATGGAAAATTTTAAGAATGAATAGAATATCGAGTTCAATGCTTTGGTTAGATATGGTGAAAAATGTTCTTAATATTTAAATAAATGTCATTTCAATATTTACGGTATCTTCAATTTTAACACTCTGTACAATAATTTTGAAATTTAACTAATAATATATTGACTTAATAAAATGATTCTGAGCGAATTTAATTTGCCGTAGAATTATGAATACGGCATGGAGCATTGCATCTGTGGGAATTAATTATCGACTATGCCAACCTTCATCTACCAAAAGGTACCTCTCGATAGAATCAAGTTAACATGTCTTATATACTAGTGATTCGGTATTAAATATTTATAGTGGTAGTAACGACACGCATGAAACACGATTTAAAGCATTTCTTAAAGACGTTCTGTATTTTTTTACCGATAAAGAAATATATTAAGCAAACATACATGTAATATTTTTTTTTACTTTGAACTAAATTCCATCAAAGTTTAAAAAAATATTGAAAGTTCAGAATTCTATTTCATAATACCACCGATTAAACCTATTTATCTATTTTACTTCTTTTCAATTAATATATATATATATATATATATATATATAAATATAATCTTTTAATCAAGCACATGATTTCAGCGTATAATAAAATTGAACCTGTTTTCAAGTACTTTTAAATAGTTGAAATTGTCAATAGTTGCTAAAATAGTTGAATAGTGTNTATCTATATATATCTGCATAGTAAGATTATCCTGTGTTTAGCAGTATGGTTTACAAGAAATAATCTAATTTTTAAGTCATATTTACTTTCAGAAACCTTATTGAAAATAATCAAATAAAATAATAACTAAAAGTGGATTTTTGTTGTAATTTTGTAAAAACAAGTGCAAAAAATTTCTTTCTTTTCATTCATATCTTTTCGTGTTATCAAAATAACATAATTTAAGTAAAAAATAATACGAAAAAAGTTTGATTCATTGATATAAATAAATATTTTCCAAAGTTTTTTTTCTTTAAATATCTATATACTTATTCATATACCTTGGAAATAAGAGCTAAGAAAGTTATTTTGTTGAGTTAAAAAATTTGAAGTGGAGCTTTAAAATGATTTCACCAGTAAGTCACTAATTTTCAGAAATTTAGCTAATAACTAAACTCTGTGCATAAGTTGAGAAGTTATGAAAGGTTTTCTTAGTAGAATGCTAGTGAGTAATAAGAACTTATATAAAAAAAATAATTAACATAGAATCTTAATTTTAGATTTCATAAAGCCTGTCCTGTCCATGTAGTTATTCTTGGGTAGGTTCGTATAGAATATAAACTTCAGGTCATTTTTTTAATTGTTTTTCTATAGCTTGTGCTTAGATATATATGTTATCTTTTCAATTTCTAAGCTCCAAATGTTACTAATATTAATTTCGACACTTTCCATATTTAATGAACATCGTTTAAGCAACGCGAATTAAAAGACGTACAACATTCTTATGTACATGGCACAAAAGAAAAAGAAAAAATAAGAAAATAAAACACGCTGAATAATCTTAATAATTCGAATGGGGGACCTTAAGTACGTAATTGTTACCACAAACAATATTTTAAGTTACGAAATCAGACACAAAGACTTATTTTCTCGAAATAAAACCTACATTTTCTTCGACAAATTCCTGTCTACCAAAATATAAGGGATAGCCGCAATCTGAAAAAACATGGTTCAAGTAGTTTTGTTCAGAAGAGCATACGGAAATGTGAACCTCTAAATGTTAATTTTTCTTTTTGTGTATTTCACTGTATTTTGGATGCTTCTTAAAATAACTGAAAATTTGTTCACAGAATTGTCAAATTCATTTATCTAAGGATGATTTTTTTGCAAATTTTTTTTTTTAATTATTGATTATTTTTTCAATAATAATCAAAAGGTTTTGATTAGCTAGTTATGCCAATTTCTACCTTATTTTAACGAATATGATTTTATATAGAAAAATACAAAATTTAAACAAAATCGGTCAAATATTACCTGGAAAACTGACATTTTAAAAAAAGAAATCAGATATAAAGTTGGATTTCTCAAGAACTATTCAACCGACTGCAGTCAAATTTTGCATTTTGCCGTAAGAAATATTCGTTAAAATGACATAAAAATTTGTGTTCCATACAATACAATTTCGTTTCTTCTATTATTAAATAAATAAAAAATTAAAAAATAAAAAAATAATAAATAAATTACAATTTATTTTTCGTATTGAACTGTCTCTAGGTATACAAATTAAATATTTTTTTGCAAAAATATTTTAATTCTCCTAAGAAATTCTCGAGATGTGTTGACGTATGCCGGTTTAGGCAGAGAGGGTGCAATTGTTCTTGTTTTCCAGTGGCGCCATGTATGACCAAGAACTCAACTTCTGCCACATCATACGTCGCACTCGTTTATAGGGTGGACCCATTCATACATCCATTCATTCATCCACAGATCGTAATTTTGACCTGAATCAGAGAACGATCAATCTCTAATCCAGTACCCGCAGAGGTATTGATTTGTTATGGGAACATGGAGGACTTTTGCGACTCGACAGATTTAACAAGCATCAGTCACTTTACTACACGGGGAGTCTTCAGCTGGCGGGGTTCGAACCCGCGAACTCTCGGACATGGGTCCAGTGCCCTACCGACCAGGCTATCCCGGCCCTCGAGATGTGGTGAAATGCACAAAAAGTAAGCATTTAGAGGTGATAACTTTGGACCGCTCTCCTAACCTATCGTTTCGGATCATATTTCTTAGATTGCGACTGCATTTTGTGGGTCATTAATAAAGCACTCCGTCGAAAAATAGGTATGTTTATTCAGAGAAAACACGTTTTTGTGATAAAAACCATCGGCACTGACTATGTAGTTTATTTAAGTTCACTTCCTCAAACTCTTAAGATTGTGTAATATCTAAACAATGAAACAAAATTTATTAAAGTTATTTTATTTATTTATTTATTTTTTTTTGCTCGTGTGTTGTAAATAAGTTGGAGCAAATAAAAAAAATCATGTGCAAGTGATAAGAAGGGGATACGTAACTTTTCTTTTTTTTTCTGAAATTATAAAAAAAAAAAAAAAATATTTAATTAACATTTAAAGAAAATGCATGCATTTTTCTTGGAATACCTTTTATTTATAACTTCTTTTTTTTAGCACCCACGAAATTCATTACAGTAGAATTAAGAAAATTCAGTATAAAAGACAGTATTGGAATCAGTATTATGCAGAGAACGTAAGTACATAAATGTAGCAGTATTATAGATTTATTTGAAATTTATATTGGAAAAAAGTATGTCAAGAAATTAAATTTTCGGGACAAATTGCTAAATAAGATAAACGAAGTAACATAATTAAAATCAGAGTAAAATTTTGAAGGCGAGGACTGTTAAATAAACATTTGAAAATATCATTGTTATCATTTTAACAACTTCACATAATTAAAAAGTAATTAATATTTAACTTTCGATAATAATTGCACCCATTAACTCTCAAATGTTTTACTAAAGTAAGAATAATGTAATATTAGTAAAACAAACTATTATAACTTTTATTTAAAAAGTTTAATCACTCAGAAAATTAGTTTTACTTACTTGTTATAGATAACTGAGAAATAAACTTCAACACTACAATTCCTGAAAAAAAGCATGAAATTTAAGCTACTTATAAATTATTGGTATAGTTTCTGACAGCACAGGATTTTCATTTAAGAGTACTGGTCCACTGGTGCTCGCGCTCCCGTGCCACATCTCCCGGGTTCGATCCTCGGTCCGGACAAGGTTGACTCAGCCTTTCATTCCTTCAGTGGACCGATAAATGAGTACCAAGCATGCTTGGGAACTAAACACTGGGGGTTTCGCGTTCGGCTGACCACCTAACCGGAACATCTGCTCCTGCACCTCAGAGCCCAAAATCAAGAAAACTGAGATGGGCACAGTAGACCTTGGCCCTCTATGGGCTGTCGCTCCACTGAGTTTAGTTTAGTTATAAATTATTGGTACAGTTTCTGATAGCACAGGATTTTCATTTAAGAGTACTGGTCCATAAAAAATTTACTTCACTTCAATGATTTCTATTATCACTTTGACTAACAATATGTTTCAATGTAATTTAGATAACAGAAAATAAATTCATTTTTTCTTCATTTGACTATTTTTGTAATTTTCCAACGGGTCATTTTCTATGATATAAATGGCTTTTTTCTTAGAGGGCACGAAAGAAAATTAATAATTTTCACATAACGTATTAGCATTCGAATAAAGGTTTTGCCATGATAGTTTAAGTACTTAAATGAGTAGAAATTACATTTGGTTTTTATAACAGTTATACTTAAAGTAACTTGCACCACTATTACTTACAATTCCGTTAAAGCTAGACAAAAAATGTGTTGGAAAACACACATTAGAAAAGCAATTAAACTTAATGCTGCCCAAAGCAGCCCAGTGGTCAGCGTATCGGACTTCCGCCTGGAGAGACGGTGGTACGATTTTCAAACCTCACCGGGAACCACCGAGTGCATAAAATGTACTTGTGCATAAAGTCTGTGAATTGTTACAAAATACTGTGTTACATGGTGCAATGACCAGGAAAAAATCTCTTTATTTTTTAAATTGATGTCTAAATCGGGGACTCGCAAATGACTGGTGCTGCGATCTATTCGGGAGCCTCTGAATTAAGTTGCACTTTCACCCTAGCGGTGCTCTCTTGTCAAACGAAAAGTTCTCTGCCCTGATTTTATTCATAAAGTCAATGACTGGCAAACTTGGCTTGTCCAAGTGTTATTAGAAGCAAGAACAAAAAACGTAATGATGCGTCAAGATTTTTTTTCTTAAAACTATTACATACATTCATAATACATGTATTCATAAATATTTCTATATTAGTTCATTTAATCAAAATACAATACAAATTTAGCATTTATTTAACAATGTATCATTTTAAACCTGTTGTTTTATTTTTGTATTATGCTTGTTCCTTTTTACTGATTTTTAAGGACAAATATTTTTTTGCAGAAATGGCCGTGGCGTCTTCGTTACCTACGTAGTAAGTTTCGTTTGACTAATATTAAATTGTTTGTAATTCTAATAGTTAAATTAGCATTGTTTTTATTCGTTTTGTTATATTATATGAAAAAACATTTCATAAACATTTTGCATTTTTTTAAGCAAATACTTTCTTTCTGGAAATCATTTATTTCTCCATACGTAACAATAAACTACACATAGTTTTAAACTAATATTCCTTTATACCTTACATTCCTTAATTAATTTCATTTTCAACCAATATAATTTAATACTTCGTACAAATTAATTAGTTGTCAAAGGTCTCAAGTGTCAGAAAAACTGTTACTAAGATTGTTTAGAAATATAATAGTAATAACAGAGTTGTATAACTATAGACTGTGAGTTAAGTTTTATTACTTCCATTTCGAAACAAAACGGAAAAAAATTCTTCAGTGTCGAAAAACAAAGAAAGGAATCGAAATTTCAAACTAGTTACAATAACAAAGAAAAAAAATGGTCAACAGAACGGAGAATTAATTTTCTTTGAAAAAGAAAAATTTATCTGTTCCGTTCTAAGATTATTTTCGATTTTTTTACGAAGTTTGAACTTTATTTATTTACAACAATATTAATTCTTTCTTTCCTTTGATTTTATCCGTATATGTGTGAAGTAAAGTAACGAATATATATACAGCTATTTTATTTATTTTCAATGTATGAACTGATATATTTTGTCTAGCATGAATTTTGTGTTAGATCTATTCCATTTATTTAAAAAATGGTACACCGGATTTGATGTATATATTGTTGTAGCAGCCCGGCAGCATTGCTGCAACTCATGGACGTCGAATTTCTCAAGGTGATCAAATACTTGAAATTAATGGACACAACGTTAGAGAGAGTAACCAGAAAGATGTTGCAAATATGATTGAGGTATTTATGAAAATTTTGACGTTACATAATTTTTGATAGTAAGACTATTAAATCAAATTGAAATTCATAATTATTTATTTATTCTTTCTTTTTCCCTATTTATACATGTATAGTACACTCATGGACAAAAAAAAATTGGGGCACCTAGAAGGAGACATCAAAATGAAACGAAATTTTACATACGTAATGATTACTTTGATATAAGTAAATGATTAGAATATCAAAGATTATCGTTTTTCTTTAATTCGTAAAATTTCGTTTCATTTTGACGACTCCTCTTGGTGTGCTAATTTTTTTGTCCATGAGTGTATTTGTTTTTATTTATCGATTTATTTATTTATTGTTATGATATTACTTATTTGTGGATTAAATTGATGTAATGGGTGTTATTAAGTAAATATCATAATTTAAAAAAAGAAATAATAGTCCTTAAAATGTGTAGAAATAAATCATTGAATGAATTTAAAATTAAAGCAATTAAAAATCGTAAATAAACAGTATGCGTTCTAAAACATTAGCTTTTTAGACTTGTCAAAAAATGAACAAAAGTTTTGATGCTTTCTTTTATTTAACAGTGTTTATCTATTATATTTTTTTCACTTATGTTATCTAAATTTTACAATGTTTTTTGTATCTAAAGATTGAACAAAATATTATTTAACGTTACCACTTCTAATAAATTTTAAAATATAAATGCACCATTTACGCATAAATTATAAATTTGACCTGTCAATAACTTTATAAAAATTTAATAAAATATTTATCAGATAAGTTTATGTTAATTAAGTTAGGATTTGTTGTTGTCTTTTCTTCACACAAAAATATTTTTTATTAGAATTTAGACGGTGCAATTGTGTTGCTCTTAGGAAGAGTTCCAGCGCTGCACAGCTCTATTCAGGAGTGGGTTAAATGGAAATCCCAGCAGTGCCTAAGGACCAGGACTTCAACCTGGTCTTCATACACAGCTAACACAAAAGATAAACTGCAAGTTCAGAGGCCAAGGTAATTAACTTTTTTGTCTCAACTAATATTAAAATTATATCTTCAACAGTTCACAACAACACACATTTTAAACTGAAATACTGCACAAGAGGAATTATTTTATTGAATCACTAGGTGTGAATGGTTGGAGGAAAGAATATCACATTGTTTGGTCGTTATATGGTCAAACGCGATGGGGCATAGAACCACAAAACAACGTGCAACCACAGTCCGTAGATAAACGGGACTATATCTGGAACAAATTTTTTTTAACAAATCTTTAATGGTAGTAAACCATTATATTTATATCAACAACGGGAAAACTTCAAAGAAGGTCACATTGCCTTGATTTAGGAAGATTGGAGAAACTATTTGTGTGTTGAATGTGCTATGAATTTTAAGAGCTTAGCAAGACATCGTTAACGTTAAAAATTTGCGTAACATACAGAATGACAAGCGCAATGCGGGAACTCAGCAACGTCCAGAAGTGTCTATAGAAGCGCATCAATTTAAATGTTGTCAATATTTCCAACATTATTTCTTAAAAATGTGCATTTAAATGTTGACAAGCCGACAGGCCTGTGTAGGGGGCAGGGAACTGTCCTTGCATCAGAAAGGTCCTGGGTTCGAATCCCAGACAAGGCATGGATGTTTCTTTCTCTCTCTGTGTGTTCTATGTCCTTTCTCCTTTGTGTGTGAATGTGACCCGCCCTATAAACGGGTTGTGGTTGTGCGAATGGCGTGGCAGAAGTCGAATTCCTGGCCATAGATGGCACCACTGAAAAACAGGAACAATCGAACCCCCACTGCCTAAACAGGCATACGATAAAAAGAAAATGATGACAAGGGAATGACATGTTTATCTACCAAACCGATTTTTTTTTGCTCCAATTCGGTTATTTTTGGCCATTTGAAAGCGATTAGATGCATTCCTGTAATATAGGCTAAATAAATAATCATCCACAGCATTACTTATTTTTTCTTATAAAATTAAAACATTATCGTTAATAATGCACTTTTTCAAAGGCCATTCCTACGATTGAATCGTAAGTGATAAGTCACAAATAACTTTTATTACATTTTTGCCTAACAAAAAAAATTTTTTTTTGTTAATGTTCTCCTTAGATATTCTTTGAAACATAAACATGACCATTTTTCTTCTTCCGTTATCAAAACTCTCCATTTACGTTTCTCGAGTTTCTCACAAGCAGTGAGCAAGGTTAAGTGCTGTGGCTTGAAATAAATTGTGCCATGGATATTCATTTTTATTATTTTTTTTCAACAATCTCTCAGGTTAGAGAGATCTCTAAACTATTCTATTAGTCTTATTTTCATACAAAAATTTCTTTCAGCTTACCGGTAAGCAAGGAAAGTCCAGCGCTTGGTTTCGCAAATAGTATTGCTACTGTGATCTGCTCTGCAGTGATGCCAGACTTGCCAATCATGATTAAAAGTCCTTGCCCGAGTCCGACAGCTAGCCTTAGAAGATCGAGGCTTAGCATTCCGGAAGATTCTTCAAAATACAGAAGAGACGGACAGAGGCTAAAAGAAGATTCAAAGTCTTCGGGAACAGAAAGCAATTCTCGTGTACCAAGTATTTTAGTGACGAGCTTTTAAAATGCCCTGCTATTTAAGGTTCCAAGGAACTTTTGTCGTAAGCGTACATTTTATCATCATTGTCATAATATTGGTGACTATTCAAAAGCAAATTCCAAGCAATTTGTAAGACTATTCACGAGTCTTACATAGAATTCATCAGAAATGTATTTTCACATTTATATAAAACTTCTGAGCTATTCAAAGCAATATACACTGGAGTTTTAATTGTAATAATCACCATATATTTTGAAATATATGTATGGAAGTATACAATTTTAAACTTTTTGTGATTATATTTCACTTAATATTATGACCAATTAGCCGTTTAAATAATTCTTGTAGAAGTGAGATATGTTAAATATTTCCTAAAAGAAAAAATTATATTTTATATGTAAGCGAGATAACGAAGATTGTAGGTCCAAAGTAAGATGTACACTAAAATTTACTTCCGGTTATCATGTTTTTGATCTTACATGAAAACAAATTCATGTGAAATATTTATGCTATGTGACGTACTATGTACGTATTATCAGCTTCCCTACTTAACATTGTCATTTTCTGATTGTTAGGACAAACTTTAATTCCAATTTCAAGTGGAATTTTAATTTGATGTAAATGTATTGTGAAATATTACAGTAATTATTTTTCTCTTATTGTATACTTTTTAAAACTTCTTAATTTTTTTTTATCTATATTAGTAAAATTTCGACACATTAACTTTAATAAATTTAATTGTTCCGGTGCTTCAATTAAATTACATCTTTGCGAATAATGTATTTTTTATTTACTTCTTTTTTTTTAGATTTTATTTGAATGGAGATTGATTTGAATTTAGATTTAATGAAGTAGGCTGTCTGATTTTAAAACTTTATATCTAGAAAATGGTTCAAAAACAATTATTGCAACAAATTCATGTGACAAGGCTAAAATGTTTTTTTTCCGCAATTTCTGTTTCCAGTGTAAAAGAGTTTCAATAGCAGACTCTGAAAAAAAGTAAACCTATAAACCAAAGAAAAATTATTGAAAATCACATCAGAGTTTAAAAGTTGAAATATCTCATTTTCGGAATTTTTCATATTTGATGCTTTATGTGTCCACCATCAAAACGTAAAGGAAAACAGTAGCTGTAATTTGCAGCTCCATCTGTTGGAACTTCCATAAACTAAATCCAGGAACTTTGGGGGGTTATTATGACTTGTTTCATGAATTTGCTTGAATTCATGAATTTTCATCTCCTCATCCTTTTAGCTCCTTTTTCCAATTAGAACTGTGAAAAGTTTGGTTAAATTCAGTGTAAATTCAAAAGGTTTATTAGTAGTGTATGACAATTAAGTCAAAGGAATGTATATTTCAATACGAGCGAATTGATGTGTAGCTGCCTTAAATTTAAAATGTAATGTCATTTTCAGATAGAAAAAAGTCACACATGTAAGAAATATTATGAGAGTATTATGGAAGGATAAAGTCATTCATTAAATTTGAAATATTAATTAGTTGAAATGAACTTATTCTGAAAGTGGACGTATACTCTTATTAGAGCAGCAATGCTTGATCATTTATTAATGTTTTAAAGTACAACAATATAGTGGTAAATTTTTAAATTTTATTAGGTTTTTACCAAAATTTTGATTATGTACTAAAATTTTTATTCAGACTTAACAATAACTCTTTAAACATTAGTTAAACACCAGATAAATCATCGGAGAATTTGTTATAAATTTCAAAGCAATAGGTCAATTAAGAAATGAAAAAATACTGAGTAAAAATTAGTCTCTTTTTTGTTTACTAATGTTAAATTAGTTAAAAATACTTTTTAATGTAGACGAAATATAAAAATGCTTCGTCCGATGATATTAATAATTTGTATAATTTAGGTTTTCTTAATCAATTTCAGAATTTGGTAATTCAAAAAAGAAGGGAACATGCGTTTATGAATTACGAATATCTAATTTTTTTGAACTAGATAAATTTCTGACAAAGATTAAAATAAAATCAACTAAGTATAATGAAGAAAGTCGTGAAAAATCTAGATGCTTTAGAATTTATTTAGTATTCTAGAAAATTAAATGCTTAATTATATATCAGATAATATATACTTATAAATAAATTGTGAATACTATGTAGAAAAAAAATATTGAACATAATTTTTATCTACATAGTTTAAACATAAGCACACGTTGTTATGCCTTCAAAGTATTTACAATCTTATAGAACAAGTTCGAGATTGAATGTTATTATACAGATTTTATTGAAAAACAAATGTTTGTAATATAATTAGTTTTGAAAATAGAAGAGCAAGAATAGTAGTTGGCGATGTAATGAAAAAGAATGCTAGTGTATTCTAATTTACATTTTACTGATTTAAATAGATAAATGAGCTATTTGTAAAGCATATAAAAATAATCTTTTAAAATGAAGAAAAATGACTGTGTCATGAACTGAGCTATATTGAATATATGAACTTGGGAATTAAACATTTTTGTTGTCTAACTAATAAATTAATTACCCTAATCAATGTCAATAAGGCGGTCAGAAAAAAAATAAAATTGACAGTAGAAAAGTAGTTCTAACTTCCGTTAGCTCGATCGGAAACCCCATTCTTATCAAACCACTATTACAAACAGTAAGCTAATTTATAAAGATTTAAAAAAAAACACAGATTATTTTATTTTGAAAATAAGACTTATAAATGAAAATGCTGATCTCGTATTTTCACAGGTTTATAAGTTTTCCGACTTACAATGCAAAAAAAAAAAAAAAAAAGAAAAAAAANTAAAATGAAAAAAAAAAAAAAAAAAGAAGTCTGTAATTTTCCTATAGAAAATTTCTGTTTTCTAAATCTACAGAAATTTACTATTATAATACATGGTAATATGGCAAAATAGACATTTTTTTCTTTTAATAAAGAAAATTTGTAACCATTGATACAGATTGTATTGGTTGGGTATTATTTTTTTTTCAGTTTTGAATATAAAAAACTTTGGTATCAAAGCAGCAATAGAAATTTTTGTGTATTGAAACAGATGCCGACTGTTCTGTATGGTGGTCAGGGAATTTACCTCATAGGAAAAAGTACCCGAGTTTGAATCTGCTTCAAACTGTCTGAACTTCAAGATAAAACAATTCTATTAGGTTTCTTTCGAATATGATGGTTTCTTATATCCCCAACAAAACAAAAAAATCACGCAAAAAATGGAATAATTAAAAACTAATCAAAATTTAAGAATCTGTTTCACTATGCAAACCATGCGTATACAGCGAAATGGTTCTGCCTTACCTTGACCTACGGAAATATCTGGTGCGTATAGATATTTTCCGTATTGTTTTGTTATAGGAAATTTCTGTCAACATATTTTTTCCGCAGCCTGCGGATAATCCCCGGCAACTTTGCAGCCTGGAATTTTCCATATTATAATAGAATTTTTTTTTGCAGTGTTGTACATTTAGTCCTGTAGCCTCTGCAAAAATCACTTCATGAAACTTAATAAGTAGATAATATAGCAGCTTGAGACATCATTATTTGTGGTTATTTTAAAAAAAAATAACTCTTAAAGTTCCTCCACTTCGGAACTCCTTTTTTCTTTGAACTTGACCTGCGGAAACATCTGGTGCGTACAGATATTTTCTGTAATGTTTTGTTACAGGAAATTTCCGTCAACATGTTTTTTTCCGAAGCATACGGAAAATCTCTGGCGACTTTGCTGCCAGAAATGTTCCGTAATATAACAGAATTTTATTTATTTTTTGAAAGTGGAGTACCTTTCTTCCAGTAACTTTTACGAAACACTTCATGAAATTTAAAAAGTAGATGATGTAAAAGCTTCAGACGTCATTAATTATAATTTATTAAAAAAATTGAGTATTAAAGTTCTTCCACTTGGAACCTTCCTTTTTATAAACATTGATCGACGGGAACATCTGAAGCGTTAAGATATTTATCCAGTACACATTACAAAACTCAATTTCATGAAATTTCATAAGAATATGATATTGCAGCTTCAGGCATCATTAATTGTGATTACTTTAAAAAACATTAATTCTAAAAGTTCCTCCATCTTGGATCGCCCTTTTCATTAAAACTTAGACATTCCGTCGAGCAATAAGGTACGAGCTGCACTGACACTCGTCTAAGTTTTTATAAATAAATTATATGTAATTTAAACAATGTATTCTTTCCTAATCACAATTATATCGCAAATTATAATTTATGTCTTTTTTTTCTTATTATTATTAGTTATACCAATTCAACCTACCTTCCAAAACAGTAGGAATCACAATTGAGCTTTAAATTTTAAAAAAAAAGAAGGAAATTTACTCATAAAACATGTGTATTTGATATTTAAAAATAATACTTTGCTTTTAAATGATTGAAAACTTGCATTATCGCATAATCTCAAGGTTGAACATTTATTAAATGGATTGGAAAGATTTTAAAATATTGTGTGGGAGGATATTAGAACATATTCCATTCATTTAAGTTTGTTTTTAACAAATTATTACAAATTATGACACGCGAGCTTTAAAATTACTTCTTGACACACAATAATTCATTGCAAAAACAGATGGAAAAGAAAAAGCATATAGTATATATTAAAAAAAACATTTTAAACCATTTGAATGTATGAAAAAATATTTAAAAAACTCCATAAAATCAAACCAGGAAGGAATGCTAGAAAACTAAATAATTTGATTCTTCTTTTTACATAAAAATGCATAAAATATAAACAATATTTAAATTCAAAGTTATGGCCGAATGCAAACTGTAAACTAACGTTAAATTGATGCATGATATACAAAGGAATAATGTTTAAAATTTGAATTTTTCTTTAGATTGATGTAAATAAAAACTCCACGTACCAATTTATTATATTCAACACTATATGTTTATAAATATTTATAATAAACACTTCCTTGAAGCTGAGTACTAAATATGAAATTTCAATTGCTTTTGAATTTAAAAACTTTCAAATAACTTATATACACTTATTCAGATTTTAACAAACATTGCGAGCATCATTAAAATGTAATATGTAAGACTATTATTTTATCATATACTTTGGTTGACAAACTGAAAATGTTTAAAAGTGTACGTTTAATAATGTTGAAATGTATCAGTTTTTTTTAAAAAAATTCTGATAAAGCAATAAAATATCTTATATCAGAAACGTATTTCATAGTATTTGTTAGATGTATAATTTATTAACATTGTAGAACTTGTGTTATAGTGATAGTTTGTTAAATAAAGATAAATATTTATCTTCTATTTTGTATTGATTTTTATCCATGTTATTCTTGAAAAACATACAAAATTAATTTAATTTGCAGATCTAACATCGAATAATATATTAAGTTCTCATTGCTGAATGTTGGTTCCGCGATTAGGAACTTGAAACTATAGAAGTGAAATGATTATGCCTAACCATGTGATTCAAATCAGATTTAATTGGATGTCTGTAGGTGACGTCAAGTGCGCGTGTGTCGAACCTGATTGGTTTCTGAATCAACAAATGCCACGATTTACATACGATGACGTCACAAGCCAGATTGTTCCGTTTGCGAATCTATTACATGTCAGTGACTGAATGCATCGGAAATCAAATTTCATTAATTTAAACTTAAAAAAATCTGAGTTGCAATTTAGTATTAAAAATAT